CTATTTGGATCTACAAAGGGTATCTCTTTTTTGACCCGCAGAAAAAAAGAAGGTGTGGATTCCTCAAAATGAGGACTTCACACCAAGACACTTGCTTGACTTGGCCAGCAAGACACCCGCGCAGCCGCCAAGGCAGTGCTTGAGAAAGCCAAGCGGGAAGAGGTCCGGTGTGCTGGCCTCCGCGGATAGCTTCTGCATGCTGAAGCGACTGAAGTGAGCTCGACAGGAAGTGGAAAAAGAGTAGAAGTGTGCTTTGATTGTTTGGGCGGTGGCGAAATGTGCGTAAAATCTGGTAACCCGGTGCATACCCCCCCCGTTTGTAGAGAAAAAACATGGTCCTCCAACCTCTTTTCCAAATTGCGTGATTGTACCAGGGAGGGTAATCACTCCCACGACCCCAATCACTCCCACAATCCATGTATGGTGGGGGAGCCTCTATATCATTCCTCATGTTCAGAAGCTTCAACAAGGTCCAAGTCGATTCAAGTCTGGATGTTTTTTCGGGCTCAGGTCGACCTGACTCTGCCGTAAAGGGAGATAGGCTCCTCTGGAGGCAAGCTGTCGCGAAGCTCTTGTTGCTTGCTGGCAGGCCGCCAGTTGTCCACATACCTGCGGCGGGATCGCTCGGCCGGAGGCGGACTCCGGGGGGCCTCCGGGACCCACACCGCACAGGCCTCCGAGAGTCCCACGGTGATGATGTTCCGAGTGGTGACCAAACGCATGCAGAACCAACGATGGGAACACCGACGATTTCCCTTGGTATCGGATTTGGTGGTGCTCCAGCAACTGTAGTGACAGAGTTAATTACTTGGTTATGTCATATTATTTGGATTGGTGGGAGACTCGAATTCTCCCAATTCGATCATTCTCAGACCAGCTCCCACACACCACATACTCCGCATCCTGTTGGAAAAAAAGACACAGGAACCTGGGACTAGGGGGGTTCATATGTTTTGTGTTCACCAGTCTTTATGAGAAGAACTTGGTGCTTGAACCATCTTGAACCGGTGCTGTTCCGATTTACGTCCACAGGGATCCATCTGCTGTCGCACCAGCGCCCATCGCTGCGCCAAGCGAAGCCAGCGCCCGTTCCGTGTCGCCGAGGTGCATGATTGAACCTCTTTCGATGCGATCCTCTACCACCTCCCGCCCTGCTTCCTGGCTGCTCAAGTAGGTCAGAGTCCGTGACGTGAAATTGTCGTGATTTTTGGTGTGACACGTGAAACGTAATTGAAGTCGCACAGCTGTGCTTGGTGTGTCTTTCTTGCATCATGGACCATGCCAAAAATTGTCGACCCATATCACCTTGAGACCAACCGAGACACCGACCGTCCGTCCCTCCCCTTGATGTGGCCACTTCCCTGGAGAGGGCGGGTGAAAGGATTGCGTGGTTTTCGGGCGCTTCCTGACCCCCAACCGGCCCTTCAGGGCCGATCTGAGCGAAACTCCAAGAAAACCAGATACACATGGAGGTTCCAAAGAGACGATGCCAGGTTTTGCTTGAAGAGAAGCGGCTAAACCTGGGAGCTTTGGAAGATACAGACTTGGACCTTCAGGGAGCTCAATACTTCGTGAACAAAAGAGCTCGTTTGGGCAAAAAGAGCCCGTTGGTAAAAGAACACATGCGCCAGGAAATTCAATCAATAAACGTAAATAGCATCACCGCATCCCCAGCATCTCCACCGCATGGATGCGCCATATCATCCCCATCTTCCTTCGTCTCCTCCGCCCCAACGGCAAACCTCCCCGTTTCACGCGCTCTAAACGACCCCGTCCTGGCTCCGAGCCAAGCGCCTCTTGGCCAAATAGATCCTGCCGGCGTCGGAGCGCTGGATCGTCGGAGCGTTTGATGGACGTTGCTGAGTTCCATGTGTCGTTCTCCCAAAAGGATCCAAAAGGGTGCATCCGCTACCAGGGTCCATTTGGATCGTATATGGTGCCACATGGAAGTAGGAGAAGTAGGTCTCACAAGACCCTCAGGCACGCCGGCACACAGAAGTATTGGTTTAAGGGTGGTTGTCGGTTGTGAACGATTGAGGCCATGAAATCTGTCCCATCCTGTTTGTTTTTGTGTTTCGCCTCTTGAGATACATATGACACACGTTGAGCTACTTTTTTTATCTATACATGAATCATGAATATGATCAATGTCAACAAGCAAATGGGCAAGGGCCAGCTTGTAATGGCTTATACCAATGCGCCACTCACATGACACTCCACATCGAAAGCGCTCCATCCGCTCTCCTGATGGCACGCTGCAGCACCTTCACCACCTTGGTCTGATGCTCCAAGCGTTCTTCCAGCGACTTGCGACGCCTCTCCGTCGCAGCCTTCAAGACATCCTGCCATCTCAGCCTGCAGGGTCTTGTGTAGCCGAAACAAGGAAACACGGCGCAACAAGTGCCATGCCTAGAACTTTTGAATGTTGGTAGGGTAGAGTCGCCTACTTGATACCCCTTGCTACCGACAGCTAAGGTAGATCCCCAGGATTTTACGTATTAAATCCTACCGAACCAGGATTTGAGTATGGCGCAAGCAAGGGGATCTACTTGCAATTGCAGATCGCATCTTTGATCTCCGCCTTGAAGATGCTCACCAGCCCCAGCTAGGAGACCCAAAACAAGGATAGCATCCTCTTGCAGGGGTAGCATCTTGCTCACCAGGGAGATGCTTGAGCAGGGAACCTCTTTGTCTTGCCGGCAATTATTATAGACAGAACAGCATGTTGATCGATTGGTCTGGATGCCCTGACACAATCATCCGCTGAAAACAAAGTGCACGCGTGATAACTCATAGATTACAGTAGATGCCAGTTATGGATGTCAGATCAAATCCTCCAGCGGACCACTACGCACTGAGCCAATGAGATCAGCTGCACCCTTGCCTGACCACATGGGCCCGATACCATCTTTGGATAGTCACACTGGCTTTGCTCATCTTTCGCCTTGGAGAAAGAAACAGCCGAAACACCGAAACTTCAACACTTGCAACCGTGGTCTTGCGTAGATTGAAGGACATTGAAGGACATGTTGGTTTCACCTGATGGGTTCATTCATGTTCATTCTCCTCTACAGGATGACTTGCGGTGATGACTTGGACCTGCCCTGCCACCGGACCGAATGGACCGCATGTTTACCACCACAGGTCTTCTCTCATATGAGGATATTTCGGCCGTGGTCTTGGTCTATCGCATGATCTCGGCCTGTTTGTTTCTGTGATCTTCATGACTCCATTGGCTTTTCTAGAGGATTTGCAATCACATGTCCTGCATAGCAAAGCTAGGCTGTGCAAATAGGCTATGCCTCTATTCTTCGTGTGTGTGTGTGTATTCTGCCAACCTAACTCCATATCACTGGGCCGCTGCTGGCTTTGGTCATTGCAGCAGGCCCGTAGGCCCGTAAAGGCATAGGCTATCGGGAGTCTCAAGAAGGTCACTGTGGTTGGTGTAATTTGGTGTCTCGTCATCATGTAGAATCTTGATGAATAACTCCCCATTTGTCAAACCTCTTGACATATGGGTAGTCAAGATTCTGCATGGGTTTCTCTAGTCACTTTTGCCGGTTTCTTTGGATCAGCAGTCTTTGGGCCAATGTGTGAAGAAAAGTCACTTCCACACAAGGGGAGCCACATCGCCGTAGGATCAAGACCTCCCCACCGCCCCGATGTTGGATACTGCTGTTCCATCTGTCCATCTATGACTTTGTCAGTTGAAGTTCCAGTTCGAGCAAGAAAAACCAAGATGCACCAAACTCTCCCGGTTTTGGGGTCAGTGGGGAATCATCGAAGGGTCAATGCTAAGGTACCGTTTTTTATACTCATACCTATTCGGTGAACGCGACCGGGGGCATCCCCTCTATTGATCAAGCAATGATAAAAGGTCATTGATGGTTTCAGCTTCACCACCGAACAAGGGTGTGAGTCAAAATGTCTGACCTTCTGGTGCTCCAGTGCTCTATGTTCTGGACCGCATCCGCTACACTGGATGCCCCATCTCATAGCTCCCCCAACTCTCCAAATCACAACCCAATTCAAAGTCCCCAAGAACTACTGCCCGCCCCCAAGAACAAACATCGACAACGCTTCACATCCATCATCCTGGCCATCACACCGGCCATCACAGGAAACCAAGGTTCTTCAGCTCCCACATGCCCTTGGAGATCCGCAACAAACGGCGGACCCGCGCCGCTAGAATGCAGCGCCACCAGTTCTGTATGCGCAAGGCACCTGCAGGCGGCGTGTTTTATGGGTGGGGAGGGCGGTGTCGCCTCAGCGCGAAGGCTGAGGCGAAACGGGGATCGACCAGTGAAACCAGAACAGAATCACGATCTTGTAGCAGGAAGAAAAGCATGGAAAGTGGATCGCGATCTATTTTGGTATGAGACAATATACGCCATGATTGTAGCAGTATTGTGGCACCCTGATCGCCAGGAGATTTTGCATGGCCTCCTGGGAAGACGAGTTTCCTCTACACCCACATCGCACGGCTGACTCCCCCGTCCTTCCCCTTGACATGACGTCGGGTCAAAGACAAAACAAGAACAAGCATGACAAGAGTACGTACCACGGATCTCCGACCGTCTAAAACCAAGGACAAAGAGCGGAATGACTGAGTTGCAAAACAAATTTTCCATACTTCAGGTGTGTGAAGACTTCATAAAAGTGATGTGTTGCCATTCACATGACCATACTCGTTACACCCATGGAACCCTGTGTCCTAAAGCCGGACGGAGTTCTGGACGGAGCCACAGGGGGAGTTCCAAGGCCCCAGCTGCGCACCAAACAGAGGGGAGAAGGTGAAAGGAAACCACCAAACCATCTAATGGGTGGGGTGGGGGGAAGGGTGGCTTGCCAGATGGGTGGGGTGGGGGGAAGGGCTTGCACTCTGTTGGGAGTAGAACACGGACCCAACCAGGCAATCTACAACCACAGGACAATCTATTGTGAGGGAAAAGGTGGCGCAAGGTTCACATTCATGATGGGTTTGTGCCAGATTCCTTCTTTTTGTGGCCGTGAATTTCGTTGTTTCAGGGTTGCGTCTTTGATTTTCGCTTGGTACTTGGTGTGTTTGTTTTATGTGTTTGGTGGTAGCAATCGGACTCAGTGCTTCGCCCTGTGGCAGCGGGTAGAGATCTCACAAAACGCACCATTCCTGGACAAAGTAAGTATACTCAAAGAAACACGCGCAGGTATAGTGCAACGGAAAGTATACTCCATTTCCAGTGCACCAGCGAGTATCATTTCCAGTGCACAAGCGAGTGCTCGCCCGCCTAGAGCAAGTCCTGGAGAGAATATGTGCATCATCCCTCAAACAGCTTTTCCACGACGAGATTCTTCAATAGGTAGGGAAGAGCATGGGAGAGCCCCAGACGCACCTCAATGAACCCCGCCCGCTGTCCAATGCCAAATGAAACAGACTGCAGGCTTCACTGAGTCTGGAAGACGGAGTCAGGAGAGGGAAGACTGCAAGTTATACAAACGGCAACAGGTATCCAAGGGTGGCGACCACTAAACAAGCTCCCGCACATCGGGTCCGACAAGGTGTGTCTTTTTGGAGACTGGAGCTCTCACCCCCCCCTTTTCGTCCTTTCGCCTGGGTCGTCGGGACTGGGAGGCGTTGGGATTGGGAGGGTCTCCCAACGTCTAGCGCCTTCGATGGAGACATGAGCCGAGACATGTTCGCCCGCCCCGTCTCGTCGAACGTTCGATGAAAGAACGGATTTGAAAACGGGGAGCATGGCAAGACGGGCAAGCCCTTGGGATAGACAACAACTGAGGCATCATCCAATATCTTGAGGAAGCAACCTTGAGATCCTCCAAAGAACCATTAATAAATAGTATTAATGTATATATTAATGTGTATTAATAACATGTTGAACAAAAATCTGAATAGTGCCACACACCCAGACATACCCCACCTTCCTGCTTGTCTTGCTCGCTGTACTTCAAGCGATGTATCCTGAGCAATCAACCAGGGGCTGCGCGCTTGCGCCTTCTCTAAGTGCAAATACACCACATGTGCGACTCATGGCACCATGGCACCTCCCGCACCAGTGGTTCGTCTTCATCCAAAACCCGGTCCTCCAATATGACCAAGCTGCGCAAGCTGGTCATGTGGTGGGGGCCCCACCAACCTCCACCCCTATACCATCCCTAAGCCCTATGCCTATGCCTCACTTTCATCGCAAAAGGCCAGTTGACCTTGACCTTGAAGCACCTGATTCTCAGCTTCAGAAATCGATAGAACCATGCCAAAGCCTCTCCCAGTAATTCATGCCAAAACGCTGATGCCTTAAGCCTTTGAGGCTTTCATCCAACCTCTCCTCCAAGACGTGCAGTTCCGGCTCCGGGGTGGACATGGCCTCGTGAATGCAAGCTCTACTTCCGGTGTGCGGATGGCGGGCGTTGCGGGGTGGATGGGTTTTCTCATGTCTTCTCGCATCATACAGTATTGGTCATATAGCCCTAGGGCTCCAACCATGTCCTCAGAAGGTGGTTAGACCCCCTCCTTCTCAGAAGGTAGTTGGAGCCCTAGGGTGTGGTCAGTCTTTCTTGTTGGGAAATGGCCACACACCGCCTCTTGTCGAAGGTCACACCAACTGGACACGCCGAAGACTTATAGGTCACACCCACCTGTGATCTGTCGAAAGGTAAAAAAACACGCGCAGCATGCAACAAGCATTCTGGGGCGTCAGTTCACCCACCGGTGATGGAACCCCCAGCAAGTCCAGCGTAGGTATTTGTTCATCAGACTTGTCTCGTCTGAACGACGAGAACCTCTCAACTGGCCCTTCGTTCGCCTTCATCGAACGCTGCTCCATCACCACCGTCTGCACCGCGTGTTGCAGCGTTTTCCGCAGCCTGCGGCGCTTCTCCTCCACAAGTGCGCAGCGGGGCGACCGCGCAGTGCGCAGGCGGCGTGGATCATCCAGTGAATCATGTGGATCATTGGGGAGGGTGTGTTTTTGCACAGAAAGCTGGAGATTGATAGATCGAATGGGTCACATCTTCTGTTTTTTTCCGTGTTATTTTGGGGGACTAGTGACTATACTGTGTAGATTAGATACGCTATGTCAATGTTTGTGAAAGGGCCGTCGGGGCAGGCAGACTCGCTCATGGAACGCTCAGGTCCAAAGACCCAGCAAGTAGAACCATAGTTCTGTTCAGCTTTCCTCATCCTTCCACATTGTCTTTGTCTTTGACCCAATGCAGTCCAAGGGCCACCCCCCCTTCCCACCCCAAAGATAGACACCCGTCCTCCAGAAAGACCTCTGGACCGGACCGCTTCCAAACCACTTCACCGGACCGGTGCCGGTGACCCGCCTGTTGGGTGAGCCGTGAAAGCTCCAAAGCGTGTTGGGCCTGCTTCTCCTCCTCTTGGGCACCTGGCGGTGAAATCGAACGAACGACGAACCGAACGACGCGTCCGGCGACCGCTTCGAAGACCGGACACCCGAAAGACGCCGCGACGCCCAGACGGGGAACATGGAGGAACTTCGAGGAGGCGGGGAGAGAAATGTATATTGAAATGTGTGCTTTTGTCCAGTTTCCGATGGCATCTGGATCACTAAGAGCGATGGCCTAGCTAGAGGTTCTGACCCTAAACATAAACAGAAAAAGATCGTTTTCGGGCAGTCAAAAATTTTGATGAGGTATATATATATATATATACACTGTACACAATCTGACTGCATGGCAAGATTAGGATTGTCCCCAAGCGTGCATAGGAAATCCAGCAAAAAAACACCAGAACACCGAACGTCCGCGGCGCCCACGAAATGCGAAAATTGACATACACTGCCGATGGCGACCAGGTTCTTTTTTGGGGGGCTGTTTATTCCCCCAACAAATCCTTTAATCCCAATGCCAAGATCCCAAAATCAACAGCGCCCACCTTCAAGTTCCTGAAGGAGTTCCTCCCGCCGCTGCTGGTGCTGCACAAGCAGCGGCCGAAGCCTTTTGTTGGACCGGCGGCTCTGACATCATCAAAGGTACTTGGGTGATTTCAACATGGGGGAGAGTCCACTTTTTTACACTCTTCAGTTGGTGGATCGAACATTTGGAAGGTCCAGGCGGAAGACTATTTTTTTTGTGAATCTTCATACCCTCCCTCCATCAGTCATGGTGGAGCTAAGGATCCGGTGGAAATGACGTTCCTCAGTTCTTCATCCTTCCTCTAAATATTGGGGGTGTTCAACTACCGTGATTCTTGGATGGAGGGTATTAGTACTTTCAATGGAGGAATATCAAACCAACCGAATATTTCATAAACAACCGTGTCAGCTGCTGCAGGGTGCCGTCCTTTAACTTTGGATCTGTTCAGGAACTCACCGCCAACACATATTTGGTTTCTTTGCCCCGAATGCATTTGAGGCCAAATGAAGCCAGTTCAAGACCTCAAAGCGCCAGCAACCCACCATAAACACAAGGACCGCTCCCACAAAATGTGCCAAGTGATGAATGGATCTCCAACGCATCAATGGTCTACCGATGGAATAACCCTCCACTGGACCAGTTTGGCCGTTTGTCCCTAAACTGGCTGGTTCATCTGGCGCCCTAGCAATGGAACCTCGGGTTTGCTACTTTCTTCCCTTTTGCAAATACAGAAACCCTATTGCGGCCCTCCTCCTTTGCTCATCCCTGAGCCCAGTCCAGGGCCATTTCGAGCATCAAACCTGGTCAATGGACAACGACTAAAACAACCAGCTACGCGCCAACCTTCGCCTTCCACCCTTCGCCAAAGTGGCTGTTCTATTTCCGCCTGGATCATCGCTTCTGAACTCCAGGGATCCTCTGCCCTCGGGCCACCAGCACCACCAGCGCTCGCCGTGCGCCGCCGAAGCTGCTCGGCCATGGTGGAAAAGGAGCTTCGGCGCAAGGGGCGAGTTTCAGCTTGTGATTGTGTGGGTGTGCGCGCGCACACACACACTGGTTTGGAGAGTGAAGGTTTATGAGTCATTGGTTGAGGAAAGATCTCACCACCGGACCTCAACCACAAGTGCCAGATCGCAGCGGGCACCACCGGACCTCAACCACGAGCGCCAGCTCGCACCTCAACCGCGAGCGCTAGATCGCAGTGGGCACCACCAAACATCGACCACGAGCGCTACATCGCAGTGGGCACCACCGGACCTCAGCCGCGAGCACTCGATTGCAGTGGGCACCATGCACAGAGCATCAGCCGCAAGTGCTAGATCGCACTGGGACCTCAACGACGAGCGTGCTAGATCACAGTCGGCACCACCGGACCTCAACCGCGAGGTCCTAGATCGCTGTTAGTGTCGGGCCTGAACCGCGAGCGCAGATCGCAGTGGGCACCACCGGACCTGAACCAGATAGAAAGAATGCGAGAAGGAATGTCAACAATTGTGGTGCCAACGCATATGCCCGATAAATTGCTGGAATATATGCCAGAAAGACTGTCACACAGAAAAAGTGCCACGTAGAATGCCAGCATTTAAGCCAAATAGAGTGCCAAGGTGCCAAATCGAATGCCAGATAGTGCCAGATGATAGAGGGTACCAGAGTTGATGCCAGATGATAGAGTGTCAGAAAGTATGCCAGACAGTGTGCCAGAATGGACGCCAGAACATGCCAGAAGAGTGCCCACAGATTTGCCAAATACAGTGCCAGTATGTTATATATACCATAGAATGCAAGAATACATACCAAATAGAATGCGTGAATGTCTGCCATAATATGCCAGCATATATGCCAGATAGACACTTTCTTGACGTTGAATCAATATAGCCATCATTTATCAGCAGAGTATAGTTATAATGCCATGGTCACTTAAAGTAAAGTAATTTTGAGGTTAGGCTGTTGCTGGGTGTGGAGGATCACTGAAAGAATTCGGATCCTATTCTTGCTGGATCTGGAGCAGCTGGCCCTGGGCATGTGATTGCATTTGGGTTTGGGCATAAATATGATTGGCAGCATTCTACCAAACATGTTCCTTGGAACCAGCTCCTAAGGCCCGGCCGGTTGCCAACGAGACACTACTAGGCTGCCCTACATTGAGTACGGTACCGTGTTCCTCCCTGTTTCCCTTGATCGATTTCGCTGGTACTTTTCAACATTGATCTGAAAGGGCTACGAGCCTCGTACAAAGGGCTACGGGCGGCCAATCCATCAGCGAATTGGCCATTCGGCCCTGTCCTTTCCGGGCCTGGTTGAAACACCCTGCACCACCCGAGGCAAAACCATCCCAAACACGCCATGTATGTTATATATATATTATATATACAGTATATTATATTGCAACATATGCCAATATTATGCCATTATCATGGACTCCCCAAACCACCGCTGGGGGTGACTCTTTGAGATCTGATTACCTTCGATGAGAGTCTTTAGGAACTAGGAACCAGGGGTGGCATGGGGTGGCGGTTGGATTCGTTTAAACATGTTTTGACCCAGCTGGGGGAAATCTTGCTCTTTGCCTCATTGCCCATTGCTATTAAAAGGTTGAAAATTGAAAAGAACGAAAACATTGGAAACCACCAGCAGTGGGAGTTCCCATCATGAGTTCCCTCATTATTCCATGAGTTGCCTCATCATGAGTTCCCACGTCCGCTTCCGTCAAGTTACGCCCGGTGGCGGTATCTGCCTCTGCATACTTCATCAGAATATCATGGTCCACAGGCGTGTAGTGCTGCCTGGGGTTTTCTCCACTCGGGAAGACCGGGCGGAGGTTTCATCGGGTCTACCGTGCGGGCCGCTGAACTGGCAGCGCGGTCCATCCACACGGCAACTGTCCTCAATCTATTCAGCTTCGATGATTGTCTGCTTCTCCCAAACTTGACGTCCTACGACCATGACTCAAGTCAGACAATCGAAAACCCAATTGTTGCTTCTCTCTGCATGGCAAGGATCATGGCAGTGTACTTTGCAAGCACGGTGATTACTTGCTGTCTTTGCACCACAACCTGCCTATAACCGAATGAACGGCCGCCGAAATTTCAGCGGGAACTACCATTGGAATACCCCATGGACAGAGAAAAAGAAAGGGGTATTCCAATACCCCACGGGAACTACCATTGGAATACTCCATGGACAGAGGGGCCCTCTCTCCTTCCAAAAAGACCTCCTCTCCTCCCTGGTCCATGGATCCAGCTGAGTCCCTCCTTCGGTCCCGTGCGAACGGGAACCCGGTGGACCCGGTGGACCGGCACTCCTTTTGGAGAAAGAAAAAGAGGCACCGGTCCTTTCGGCACTCCGAAAGCGTGCTTTTGGTTCAAAGTGTCCGGCCATCTGAGACAAGTCAGGTCGCCTGATATCCCATTTTTGTTCGCGAGCGTGGTGAAAAGCGGGTGGTCACCGGGTTTTTTTGGAGTACCAAGAAAAGATTCGAAAGAGAACTTGAAACCAACAAGACTGTGCATGCACCTACAGGTCATCTCAGGTGAATTCCTTCGCTTCCATAGTCTTCCGTCTGCTTCCGTCACCTGCATCCACAGTCTTGCGTGGCAGGACGTTGGAGGGTCCCGCAAGTCCCACATCACGACGGCGGGTCCGACATCCCATTGAACATCCCCCTACATATCCCCTACAGTCATACATCCTGTTAGGCTGCAAAAACATGCAACCACAGTCGGAACCTTATGGGAGTCCAGCCCAATCCTGGATATCTCGCCCAGTTGCCCAAAGGGCGCATGGATCTTGAACTCGTGGAAGAATGAGTTCATTCCAAAAGTTCGTGCCTGGGCAGGTGTTCTGCGCCAAGGATCCTTTGGCCGTGGTCAAGAAAAAACTCAGCGGACTAAATAGACAAGTATGCAAATGCCATGGTGAAACCAAGATATCTATCTCATCTTTGAGGATGCAAGGCCACAGTGCCCAATTAATAGCGTGCTGGACCAGGGCTGGACAGGCTGCCTCTCAGTTAGTTGTGCAACGCTTCCCAAGCTGACAGGCTGGAACAGCAGACAAGTCTCAAGTCGGCGCACAACAAATTGAACCCACGGTTCAAACATCTGATGTATGGAGTGCACAGGTGACAGGTTCAGTCACCTGATTTAATATCATGGACATGTGGATCATGAAAAAGTGTTGCTTTGTCATACGCACCTAAGAGCATTGTTATAATACATGAATATATATATATAGTAAAATACTATATTTACTGAGTCACTGTAAGTGAGATAGAAGCAATCCCTGGATGGTATCAGTGTGAGCCACACTAGGTAAGGCTTTCTCTTTCTGCACCCTTAGAGATTTAAATATATATATATATATATCTTAGAAGTACCTACCGCATGCCTGTTCTTTTCGGCCGATTACAGTATATTACGGAATAATAAGGATAAGAAAAAAGATGGAACGGAAATAGTTCACCTGGAACATCACCTTACCTCCACCAATCGTTTTTCTCAGTCGATCCATCACCCGATCCGATATGACGTCCTGTCGCGAGAAAAAGCAGCAGCAGCGTGAGTGAGTGAGTTCCGCACCTCGTCCGTGACCATGGGCACGCAACGCTTCCCAAACTCCCCGGCCTGGCCGCGGGAGGCAGGTTGTGGTGCGGGTTGTGGTTGAGGTTGTGGGGCGAACGGTTGTGGTGCAAGGAAGTAAACCAATTGCCAAAAAGTTCTTTCGGCCCAATATATAAGATCGCTAACAGACCAGGAGCAGAGTCTTGAGATCAGATCCAGGAAAAACCGTTGCATTCCTGTCAAAAAACCAGGGGCCAAGGCGGCCAATCATTCTGCAGTCCAAACTGATGGATTGGGTGCTATTGTTCACCACACTACCAGCTTCTCAAAATGTGTTACAAGACTTCCTCCTTCCCAGGCGGCCTCAGCTCGGGGGTCAGACTTGTTCCGAGTTTTTTCACGGGCTCAGTTCGACCACTTCGACCAGGGCTGCCCTGCAGGAACCACAACTGAGTTGCTACTAGATGTCCCTCACACACCTTCCAGGCTGATTGGCACACAGCAATCGGTGCACTGAAGAAAGGAAAGGTGGTGTTGGATCCGCCTGTGAGGGCAAAAATAGGATCCCATCACCGCCCGTTGGGTGCTCCTCCCGGCTCAAAACAAACACAACGAGCTTTCGGTCGCGGGCTCAGAGTTCAAGCATCGGGTGAGATCAAAAAACAAATTCTCAAGAACAAGGAGCTGGGGCTTGACGACTTGGCCACACCCACTTGAAACCAAGTCAACTCTCAGTGTCCAACGATGAGTGCGTCGCCGCCCCCCCCCCAAAAAAAAAATGCCCCACACCCCTTTTTTGACTATGACACTGGGCCATGGGCATCTGTGGGTCTGACATGGCCTGACCAAATATAGAACAAAATGGAAAAGGGTGGGACAAGTGGACAAGTGCATGAATATAATGACCTAAATCATGCTATATATACAGTATATATAACAATGAGATCAGTGCCTTCCCCATATGCGTTACACTAAACATGGGAACCCTGAGAACTTCTGATCTTGAAGTGACACATTGAAACAGCTTACAACTTCTTCCATTCTTCTGGGGATCAACACCTGCGCAGGTTCCTCGACCTACAACATGCTCATTGAGGGAACATGCTTATTGCCTATTTAATATGTATAGGTTCAACTGAGCGGCCTTCGGACTCAAATAGTTACGTAATGTGACATACATCTACTCCGTGTATGACCCTTAGGTAACTCCAATGTAGTACATGTCACATCCAACCTTCATCAGCCGTCGCAAGAGTGTGGCAAAGGCCATCGTTGTGCTCATCTCCTGCGTGGAGGCGACAAGTGGCGACGAAAGCAACGCTTTCGTAAAACTCCGCGGGAAAAAGGGAACCACGTGTTTATTTTTCCTACATGCTGTTTAAACCTCCCAACCACCTTCTTAAAACCTCCCATCCCTTTCTTCGAACCTAGCGGAAATGTCAACACCAGGGCCTCCGTTCGGTGGTTTTCAGATTGAAGTCTGGTGATTG